ATCCCAATATCCTTGCTGCAGATCCGTGTCAGGTGGATCAGTGAGTCGATGTCTCATTCACTCTTAGAATACAGCTTGATGTCATCCCCATATTCAGTCCTCATGATTATCTGCCTGAGGGGGTTTAAGCCTATGCAGAACAGCAGTGGGGGTAGTGCATCACCTTGGTAAATGCCGCACTTGATGGCCACTTGTGCGAGCTGTCTTGAGCTGACTTCCAGTGTTGTCTGCCACAGTCCCATTGAGTTCTTGAGGAAGGTCCTTAGTGTCCTGTTGACTTTGTATAGCACCAGGCATTCACAGATCCATGTGTGTGGCATTGAGTTATAGGCTTTCCTGTAGTCAGGAAATTTATATAGTCAGGAAATTTATATAATTTATATAGTCGCCCATATATAGTTGCCATCTCACACAAAGCAACTCTGGTTGATGTACAACAATTGAATAAAATAACAAATGGATAAAAACAATCATTATAAAAGATAGAAAAGTGATTATTAAAATGCAAATATTATCAAAAAGTTTAAAAATTTAAAAATGTAAAATATACAAACCCCACAGGGAGCAGAATATTAAACATAGTGAAGCTATCTAAGAATGTCTCCAGTTCCCAAAGATCCCCAGGCCTGATGACATAACCATGTTTTGAGGGACTTCCTAAATGACAGCAGGGAAGGGATGAGCCTAACTACAGAGGAGAGAATGTTCCACAAGGAGGGAGCCATGGCAGAGAAGGCCCACCTCCTGTGACCCACCAAATCCAGGTCCCTGGCCATGTGTAGCATACTTTCCTTGCCAGATCTAATGTGAACAGGGAGAAGCGGTCCCTTAGATAACCCAGCCGCATGCCATGAAGGGCTTTAAAGGTCAAAACCAGCACCTTGAATTGGACCTGGAAGCAAACTGGCAGCCAATACAGCTTGCGAAGCAGAGGTGTAATATATGCTTCCTATTCTAGGAGTACACATAACTGCCTGCACCATTGTATTCTGCACCAGTTGAAGCTTCCGGACACTCTTCAAAGACAGCCCCATGTAGAGTGCATTACAGTAGTCAAATCTGGAAGTGACCATGGCATGAGTGACTGTGAACAGAGCCTCCTGATCCAGGAAGGGGTGCAGTTGGCACACAACATGAAGCTGTGCAAAGGCTGTCCTAACCACAACTGTCACCTGCTCTTTGAGCAGGAGTTGCGAGTCAAGGAAGACCCCCAGATTGTGCACCAGATCTGGACAGTGCCACCCCATCCAGCACCAAAGGTGGTATAGTCCCAGAACCTGCAGGACCCCAAACCCAAAGCCGCTCAGTCTTGCCAGGGTTCACTTGAAGCCTATTGTGCATCTTCAGATTCCGAGCCAGAATTCAGAATTCTTGACTGCATCTTCAGAATTTCGAGCCAGTTTGAATGTTGCAGACCCGACATATTTGGAAAATGCCAGAAAGATGGCAAGTGAGGAGGCGGGTGACTGGAGAAGAGACCACTGTGAATAGAATGCCCTCCTGAGAAAGTCACTAAGTTGAATGTCTTCTCAGTATTTCTAACATGCTAATTAAGCTTGTTTTAATTGGATGGTTTATATTGGTGGCATGAAAAATTGGTGCAGGTAATCCTCAACTTATGACCATTCATTCAGCAACTGTTCGAAGTTACAAACGTATTGAAAAAAGTGACTTACGACTGGTGCCCAAAGTTATGGCCGTTGCAGTGCCCCGCGGTTACGTGATCAAAATTTGGGTGCTTGGCAGCCCGCCTGCATTTACGACTACAGGAGTGCTGCAACTTCCCCACCTGCCTATCTCCCCCTTCTATGCCCTCTTGGCCCCCCGCCACCCTGCATTCCATTCCCCCAGCTGACCTTCGCTGTCTTCTTCCTACAAAAAGCCCCTTTTCAAAAAGCTCCTGGAGCATGGTATGCCAAAACCCTCGTTTGCAAAAAGCCCAACCCACCCCGCTCAGGGCTTTTGCTTCGTGTTCTGGGGGAAAAAAAGCAGCAACCCCTTCTTTTCTCCCTCTCTTTTTTTTTTTCCTTCCCCTGTGAGTAGACTGGCCTGCTCCTGGGAATTTTGGTCCTCCAGCTATGATAGGCAGGTAGACCAGGCCCTCACAGCCCCCTTCAACTCTCTTGCTTCCATTTTCTGTGGATAGACTCTCAGGAATGTGAGTAGACTGGGCCCACCTTCAAACACTGGGTAGACTGAGCCCACCTTAGCCCTCTAGAGCTAAAGTTTTTTTGCATACCCTCAAAAAGCCAAAAGAAGCACCTGAGCAGCAGCGTGCCAAAATGCCTCTTTGCAAAAAAACTCCTGGGCAGGGCAGAGCTGGGCTTTTGGCTTTTTTTTTTTTTTTAACAGCATGAAGCAAAAGCCCAGCCAAGCCCAGCCCAGCTCCACCCAGGAACCTTTTGCAAAGGGACTTTTTGGAGCAAGACAGAGGAGGTCAGCTGGGTGGCAGAGCACAGGGTGGCAAGGGTTTCAGAATGCAGGCTGGCAAGGGCGACTGGGACTGGGCTGGGGCAGCTGTGGCTTCCCGGGGCATAGCAAGCAGCCCCAGAGCTGCGAGTTCTGGGACTGCTTGCTGCCCTGCAGGGCAGGGTCCAGGGCAGCCAGATGGGCACAGATGGGGGGAAATAAGCAGTGGGGGGAGTTGGAGGCATGGAGAATGGCTTGGATTGGGTGAGTACTCACTTAACAACCTGTGATTCTCAGGACTAACAGGATTGCGGTTGCTAAGTGATATAGTCACATGACATTTCGCTTTACGACTACATCGCTTAGTGACAGAAATTCCAGTCCCAATTGTGGCCGTAAGTCAAGGACTTACCTGTACTTTTCTTCTTTACCATTTAAATTACTGGATCCGGTTTTATGCTGTGAGCCACTCTGGCAGTTTCTTAAACAGAAGTGCTGCTAGAGCAGTTTCCTTTTCTGTTCTGTGACAAAAGCTCTTGGTTTATTGCAACAGTGTTGATAAAGCAGAAGAATATAGGAAATCCTTCGTTGCATAGACATTGAAGTTTGCATACCAGAATAGTAATGAGAAGTGAACCCTTGTTTTTGTTTTTTCATTATTTTGTTTTGAATGTTCCTTGGGTGCTGGGGTTATTGTATTTGTACTTTAATTATTGTTTCACTGTTTTGATCCTAACCTTCCTATAGGAGGTTCTGTGAACCTATTCTTTTGAGAGTTGAGTAGCACATAAGCACAAGTAAATAAAATAAATCAATATTCAACAGGTTTTTGTTGATTGTGGAGTACCTGGGAAAATTTGTGGGTATTGTAGAATAATGAGCTATGAATACATTTAGCCATGGATGAACAGTGGAACTGTTGAATCTGTAGTGTTTTATTACTGTGATTTATTAGTTATATGCAACTTGAATTAAAAAAGAATCTTGATTGGTGAAATTGATGAGTACACTGGATTTTTGGTGTTCCCATTTCGTTGACCCAGGTTTTCTAAATCTGTTTGCTCAAATAATGGTACTCTTATGTTTGTCATATTGATTAAATACAAATAAGTTAAGGCTGTAGTCATTTTATACTCTTAGGAGTAAATTGCAGTGAATGTTGATAAACCTTCATAGGATTGCATGTTCAGCTAGAAGGAGTAGATTTTAAATATTCACATTATGAGCTCAGGAATCAAATTTGGTTGCATAAATCTTCCTTTTAAAAACTCTAGTAATTAGTTCAATCAAGTGAAATTTTGCAGACCCATTCTCCTTTTATCTTTAAGGGCATGGATGATTTTGGATCAGTACAGAAAGAAGTCAAAGCTTTTTCGGACCAAAATTTTATTGGCTCCACTAGGAGATGATTTTCGCTATACTGAAAGTTCAGAATGGGATCAGCAATATCAGAATTATCAGAAGCTATTTGATTATATGAATTCTCATCCTGAATTCCATGTCAAGGTAAGGAGTAATGATCCTAAGATAGCCATTATTTGATTTCCTTGCTACTAATTCTGTTAAAGCTTTATACTTGCTTCTGGACTGTGGTAGCAAGAGCTCAGTAAATATGCATGTCTTTCCAAAAGTGATTCCTCTGAGTTCTGGTGAGGTATTCTTCCAGTGTATAGGATTGTATAATATGTGGGTTTGCAGTCTTTGGCTAACAGTTTTATCCATGCCTATTTAGAAGTAAGAAAGTTTTCCTCCATAATACATCATAGGATTGTACTATATATGGTTTATATATAAGTCACATACTTTATTTCTTCCTCTAAGAAAATTAAACTCAGCTGTCAGGTAACCTCATAAAATGTTAAACTAATAGATTCAGCAAACTTAACAATTTATCACTTTATCTTCTCCCAATGGAATCTGAAAAACCCCAAATCTTCACTAAGCTCCAGAAAGCATATTGTAGCAAGTCATATGGCTCTCTCTTAAAAGAGTTTTCCAGAGTACTAGCACCATGGTCTAAGACTTTTAAAGATGAACACGTTATGCTGGCTTTCCACACAAGTATTGGGAATATAAATGTGTCTAGATGTCATAGATTATATTTATTTAACTGGAATCGAAATAGAATTCACCCTACAGTGAGAAATGGCATTTTAAAAAGTAGATTAAAAACAACACACTATATATATATATATGTTTTAAGTTTCAGATCTCCCAAAGTAAAGATTTATGATGGTAATAGTTCCTCTGGTACGGTGCAAAATGCTTTATTTCCAAAATATTTTGAAATTTCAGAACAATTATCTGGTCACCACTTCAAAGCTAAAAAATTGTGATACAAAGTAGTCCTATGTTAAATTTATATAACCTTGAAATAATATAGACTTAAATTAAAAATCATTAGATTAACTGCCTCATGAAATTTGCTATCTCTCAAATTCAAATTTAGGAAATTTTCCTTTATATTTGTAAACACTTCTCTTCTATGTAAAATAACTGAAATTCTTTGAAAATTCACAGATTTAAATGATTTCATTGAAATTATTATTATTTATAGATTTGCTTTGAAATTATAATATTTGTTATAATTTTTGTTACCTGGAGTTTAAGAAATTTAGTCATATCTGTGTGGCATCTCCAAGAATATAGTCATACAGGAAGCATGTTATTTATGCTCAACCATAATGTAGAGCTATGTACAGATATTGTACTGGGCCTTTTTAGTTTAGGCTTGTACAACTCTCATTCCCTTCTCCTTCTTCCATGCAAAAGAGAGGGATTTTGGCAATATAGATATTATTCCCCAAGATTTTGATATCATTTTAAGTAAAAACTGGATATGATGGTTTAAGACAAACTCACATCATTTTATACTAAGTGAGCTTCAAAACATGGGATTGTAAGATGGGATAGTAAACTAACTGCAACTTGTTTAAATATGCACAGATATATACAACTTTTGTTGCATGCAAAATCATGATGTTCCAAATTTTTGGTATGTAATTCAGGAATACATTCAAATCTTTAAGACATATTTAACGTTTAATGCCATATTAACAATTGTTTGCATATTGTCCATTTTACATTTTATACAGAAGGATTCTGTGTTTTATTTCACCCCATGTATGATGGGGCCCTGAAATCCTGAAAAAGTTTTCATAATCAGGTTACCTTCATGACAAAGCCTACCTTAAATCATCAGATAGTAAATGTAATCTTCATGTAATGAAGTAAATGTAATCTACATGTAATCTTCATGTAATGAAAATTTTGAAATCCTTGAGAAATAATTCAAAATTAAATTCTAACAAACGTATGAATGTTAAATCAAAATAGAACAAAAATGGGGAAAACTCATGTGAATTAGGGGTAGGGGTACCCTATCCTCTTGGCTATTTCATATTTTCATTACAGTATAGCAAGGCTGACAGCCAACCCTTTTTAAACATTCCCTGGGGTGATTGGTAAATGCGGAAAAGAGCTTTTTGTTGAATCAGTGACAAATTAAGTTCATAAGAAATATAGTTAAATTCTTATCCATTGAATGGAATTTGGGATATTACAACTCTTCCATTGAATGGAATGAGTGATATTCCAATTTGTGTTATTTGCAAGTATGTTGAACTAAAAATAGCTAATATCAATGCTTAGTGACAATTTTTAATTGTTTATTTTTAAAAAAATACCATAGACTTAAAATCAGCCAAAGCACATTCCAATACTGATAGTAATTGGGTGTTTTAGATGCTGCCAAGGCATGTTGACCAAATTGTGAAATCAAGAAATATTTCAATTAACTATAAGCTGGTCTACTACCCTTACTTGTCCATGAGTTTCTCCCCAAAAGATTTATCTGCAATTTTCAAACTGGGATAGTCCCAGAGTGTAATTTATTCATGGGAAGGAGGGTTAAAATTACACTTCTGTCCCAAAATATTTCAAATATGCCTTGTAGTCTTTAATGAGATTATTGTTGATAGTCCTATGAGTATGGTATTATAAAAATCAAATCAGTCAATCAAGCAATCAGTAATGGAGCCAAGTCTCTACCATGTCACAAGATCTTATAATATATTAGTAATTGTGTTCAGAGTTGCTTCCTGACTAGGTCACTTTCATTCTATAGAAAAATTGAAGTCAACATATATGTCCAGCCATAAACCTAAAGGTCTGGGAAGTTTAAACTCCTGTTGTCATATGATAGCTATACCTTAGGTAAAGAAAGTCTAGGGATTTGTCTTTCTCATAAAACTTTAATATTTTATCATTCTGCTTAAAATAACAATGTTTAATGCAGGAATCTATTTTAGTAAATATACCAATATTAACTAATACCACTAATAGTTATTTTTACAACATCTATCTTTCCCCCCAAATTCAAGGATGTTTAACTATCTTTCATACTGATTTTTATCCAAGAGTTACAAAATTGATATAGTTACTTCCACAAATGAAAGAAGTTTCTTTGAAATAACTGTTCTCATGCACACACACATACAAACAAAAACACATTAATAAAAGGAAAAAAATAGATAAATTTAACAAGAATTAAAATACCCAAAAACAATTTTTAAAAATGGAAAAAGAAAAAGAATTATTGGGTTTCTGTTTTCCCCCTTTTTGTATATCTGCTAATTTACAATAGTGTAGACATTTAAGCCCCCTTAGAAGCTAGACTGTAAGTGATTATATTTGCCATGCTGCATGATGTTTTGTATGTATGAGAATTGTTCTTGCTTAAATTTGGTTAAATTTTTATTGTGTGTGTGTGTTTGTGTGTGTGTACACAAACACACACACACACACAGTTTTGCCATGGGAATCCTACTTTTTTTGTATCTTGTGCATGTGATTTACTATCTGATGATTTAAAGTAGGCTTTGTCATGAAGGTAACCTGATTATGAAAACTTTTTCAGGAAATTTAAGATTGGTTCCCATGTGCTGGGTTGTAGAAAACATAAAGACATACTTGCTTTCCAGACTTTAGATAAACAGTTTGTATTTGAGTAATCCATGTTCTATATGTTCTACTTCTGTAATCTGTATTCTGTATTTTAATGTTATATGTATATTTTTAATTAATTTAGATAAGTGGGGCTGCTTTATTATGCTAAGCACTGCTTTGGGTATCTTTGGGAACAAGAATGGTAAATAAAATTAATAGCAACATTAATAGCAATAAACCACAATGCAAACCTGGTCAGTGCATTTTTCTAAAATTATATCAGGAATGCAAAGTACTCCTGCAACAGCTACATGTGGTTAAGGGCAGGGAGTAATAGGAAAACTGTTCAGGTTTTATCAGGAAAATTCATATTATTCTTTCATAGGCAAGATTTTCTATGAGTTTTTAACTAACGTTTAAAAGATATAAGGTGACTACAAATACTAAACAGCCTCACGTACAAAGAAACAATTCCTACTTTATCTGTCTCATCTACATTTTGATGATTCATGATTTGCGTGCAAAATCAGTCTTCCCATCTCATCTGTTCACCTTAGGAATTAACAAGATATAGTAGCAAAGGAAAGGAAAAATTGAAGTGGAGATGGGAGGGAACAAATAATTTTAATACAAAGAAAAATGAGAAACAAAAACTAGAATAGGCCAACCTAGAACAATAATGGGAAAATCTCAGCTTCAGCAGTGAAACAGTATAGATTTCTCAAAGTTTGCTTTAAGAACAAAAATTGCTCCAACTGAATGCAGGGTAAAGAATTTATACCACATTTTAATTTACTTTAGGCTCAGTTTGGAACATTATCAGATTATTTTGAGGCGCTGCATAAAGCTGGTAAATTGGATGAAAAGAGCAGTAATTCAGTGTTCCCTGTTTTGAGTGGAGATTTCTTCACCTATGCAGACAGAGATCATCATTACTGGAGTGGATATTTTACATCACGACCTTTCTACAAGCGCTTAGATAGAGTTCTAGAATCATATTTAAGGTAAGTAGTATAATTTTGAATATTTGTGCTCTCATGCTGTCATGTAACACATGCTTCTGTAATTATATTGCTATATTTCTAGGTAAATAGAATCTAGCAGCATTTTTTTACTTATGATAAAAAATGCAATTCTGGGCCTAAATGTTAACTACTGTAGTATATTATAAAAGCTGTTACATAATTAATATCTTCTATTGCAATAATGAACTACTTTACTTTGTTTACCTTTTGGTGAAAGAAGGGGATATGTGCTGCTTGAATGCTTTGCTTCAGTTTTCCAGACCCTCTGTTCTACCATGCTCTCAGCTATAGTTAAATTAGCACTCCACATTTAGTCAGTCCTCATTAGTCACATCTCATCTGAAGATTTTTCTACAGATTTTTTATATCTCTGCAAACCTTGGGGTTTTGCTATGCTTGCTGACATTTTGTAAATTGATGGTTACATTTTTATTATATATAGATAGCATTTATAGAATTGGGATGGTAACTAATATTTAGAAGGTGACTTCTTTAACAATTTATTTTATTGTGTTGTGCTTCTATTCAGGAACTATTCCCTCCACAGTCTCTTCCTTTCCCCAGAATTTTATTATTTTGTTAACATTTCATGCTTTCCCCAATAATTATCTTTGGTTTATATTAAAATCCTGGAATTTTCTCTTGATTTCTGTTTGACTTTTTGTTTCTTGGGGTAGTTCAATAGCTTCCCTACTGAATCAGGAAATAATCTATCCAGACAATGAAATATTTCTCTTTGTCAAGCAATGAATACTATAAAGTCTAGTGGATTTTTTAAAGAATTTCAGATCACAGCTTAAGAATTGTAAGACAGGTACATCTTCCAAAGTACATTTCCAGCAGTCTGGTGATTGCAGTTAAATCTACTAAATATTCTCTGATGTGCCCAACAATATGATAAACCTGTTTTTGTTAACTTAATTGCATCATGAATTCTAAGTGTTTAAAATAATCATTCTTATTAAAGTAAATTTATACTGCTTCTCATTGTAATCAATCCTGAAGCAGTTCACAAACCCAATAGAGCCGAATAAAAACACTCCATTAAAAAGTTTAGGGGGATATAATAGTTAGAGACAGCCAAACTACAAAAGTGTTTTTTTTTTAAACCTACCTCTTTTTTAAAAGGATAAGACATTCAAACCCATAATTTCAAAAGATATATAAACAATATCAATTTCTTTTATTTTTCCCATTTCTGATTATAACAGGTTCTAAGTTAGCAACATTCAATAAAAATTCTCAGACTTTAGGAAACTTTTGTGGCTGCAATAGGAAAACTTCTGTAGCTGCAATAGTATCAGAGTCAAAAAGTACATGCAAAGCATTCAGAAAGCCATTTCCCAAAGTATGTTGGCATGGGCAAAATACTACTTCATCAAGCATCAAAGCAGCTGCCTCTTCCTGAAGACTCAGATTAGCTGATCTGAAGGATTTCCCAAGTTGTGAACATACAGAAGTAATATATTTGTTGTGACCCCCAGGAAATAGAAGTGCAGAGATAACCAAAGGAAATGATGTCTCATTATTTTGGGATTTTCAAATGCTTCACACATAGCTCTACCCCAAAAGATGATGATGATATGATGATGATGATGATGATGATGATGATGATGATAACAACAACAACAACAACAACAAATGCTTAACTTATATGCATTACCAAAAAGCACTGTGAAGTAAATCAAATCCAGTTTTAGGTTCAACAGAGTTTGTTTGTTTGTTTATTAAATGTTTACATTGCCTGACTCCCAGTGACTTCACTTAGCCAAGTGAAGAATATTATAGAAGGCCCAAGCTACCAATAGATAGATTTATGTATGCACATAAATGTGTACATCTCAAACTTTGTTTTTCAAACTATGATTTTTCTGTAAGGATGAGTTTTCATGTGTAAAAGGATTAAAATAATGCCTCTAATAAAATATTTTTCTAATCCATCTTATAGCACTGAGTGATGGTAATGAAATGTAAGTCAAAATTGCAAATGTTGTTCAACTGCACAATAGAAATCACTTTTAAGAGTATATTTGTTTAGCTAATAATACTAATAATAAGCATTCTCTTTTATTTCAGGGCTGCAGAAATTCTGTATTCTTTGGCTGTGGTACAATCCAGAAAGTTTGAGAAAACAAAAATATTTCCTTCAGTCGAATACTACAGATTGCTGACAGAGGCTAGAAGAAATCTGGGACTTTTTCAGCATCATGATGCCATCACAGGAACTTCGAAAGATTGGGTGGTTGTAGATTATGGTACAAGGTGAGGATTAAAAGTGTTAAAGTGTCTCAAAAAGTTTTATTCTTTAAAATGAATCTGATTATCTGGAGTCTTGTTTTAGATCACACAAGATGGTTTGCTTGTTTTAAATTTAAGTAGTCTAATTAATACTTGCATGTCAATAAGTACTTGGCAGCTCTTTTTTCCTAGTCCTTTAATACAAACATGTTTGAATTTAGCCTTCCATAGTTGCTGTATTTATTTTATTCACAGGCTTTTCCATTCATTAATGAACTTGAAGATGATCATCACTGAATCTGCTCACATTCTTATTCTAAAGGACCAAGAAATGTACAACTACAACACAGCAATACCGTTCTTTACAATGGTGGGTTTCACAAAACAGTTAATGTGATCATGGTGACTGTAACAGAGGCCATAAATTGTGCTGATAAAAAGATAGGTTTTCAGTGCAAGATGGCTAGGATAGATGATAAAAAGTTAATTTTAAACTTGAATTGGTCCTTTAATCACAAAATAAAACAGCAGAATAGAATCCCACACCTTTATGCATATAGGAGACATGCATATAGGTAGTTCCCAGGTTAAGAACACCCAGGTTACAGACAACCCAAAGTTAAGAACAGAGCCTATGGCAGCAAAATTCAAGTTAAAAACACAATGATTCGAGTTAAATACTGAATGTTTCAAGTTCATTACACAATACTACTTATATAGTATTATACAATAATGCTGTTCAGATTTATACACAAAGTCTACTTAGGAATTTGTTCTTAAACTGGGGACTACCTGCATATGCAAAATATGCCCTGCAACACTCCCAGGATCTCCTCTCATAACTTCCCTGTTTCCACACTAGTCTTTTTTTGTGGGGGGGAGGGGAGGTGTCAGTTGCAGTATTTGAAAGCAAAGCACTGGGTTCCAACTGCCTGTTCTATTTTTTAAGAATATTTCTATGTCTTTGTGAGTCTAATACTTGTTCATGGGAAATAAAGGTGATAATGAAAGGAATCCCTTGTTTTGCTTTGAAGCAGAACTAGCTGATCATTTTTCTAAAATCATCTGAGATAGAACACCAAGGAAGATACTCTGGAAGCACTGGTGCCCCATGGGTGCTGCACTGTGAACTACTAGAGATGGCATTTCCACTGAATAAAAAAAAAGATTGATTAAATACTCAACAATAAATAGTCAATGAAATTAAAGGTATTTTTAACATGAACATTATAATTAATGTATCTGAGTTTGAAATAACTCAGTCTGAAAGAATGGGGTAACACTTTGGGTTATAATCTATTCAGTCTAAGTTTCTGAAAATCATACTTTGTCTTTCTCTCTCTCTCTCCCTCTCAGTTCAAATGACCTTGTTTGGTTAGAGCTTGGCTGCATTTCTCTTGGGGCCCACCTGAGACTTTGCATCTCAGATTTTGGCTGAGATAAAATTTTTTGGTGTGAGTCTCCCCTTACCTTACTAGATAGGTTTTCCTCATTCCTGAGGAAGAAGATTGATTCTTGTCTGGCATATTGTGGCCTCTTTCTCCCAGCAACATCATCACTCAGCCCAGATAAAGCCTTACGAGAACTTAAACAGAAGATTTGGGATTTAGACCTACAAAATGACAGGACCAAAATCACCCATCCTCATTATAGCACAGTTGCAGGCTCTCTTGGACTATTCCTAGCTCTGTTTGTTTCATATGTTGCATCAGTAAGTAACCAAAAATACTTTCCCTGCTGGTAGGATGTTACTCAGTCTTCACAAGACTCTTTGCCACATAAGACTGTCATACAGCTGGGAAAACAGCCAAGGTAAATATTTGGTTCTTTAATATTTGAAAATATCTAAAAATGTTAGATGATGTTTCTATGTTGTGTATGTGTGAATGAGAGAGCATGCACTATTCAGCACAATCACTGTTTGCTCTAGTTTATCCACTCCCAGCATGTGCCCCTCCCAGCATGTGCCCCAACCCAGATTACCAGTGCAAATGTTACTTCTGATTAACAACAGACCAATTTCTATTATAAATGGTAAGTTAACTATGTCATTACTAAAGAACCCTGGATATGAAATAATGCTTCTTGAATAAATAAATGATTAGATCCATATAAAAATAATTTGGGTTGGATCTACAGTTCAGTAAAGCAGAACTCTACAAAAACAAGGTTTTATCACATCTAGAAAAGATGCAATTTTTGCTTCTGGGGAATTGGGATACTTTCCAAGAGAATATTCAAGGTTTCACTGGGGACTGTAAATGGAGAAGACTGGTGGATTTCCATTCTCTTTTCCAATAAAAAGAATCTTTCTCATTTGCGCACTGTCAACCATTGAACTTCTTTATTTTAATTATAAAGGTGTGTGCTTTAATGTATCTTGCTTTGGCAGCCCATCAGTTGATTATAATAATACAAAGTAATGCAATTCAAATGTATGTTGCATTTGAACTACCTCTTGTATAAAACAGACATAAGCAGGAAACAAAGGAAATGAATAAGAAAAATAATTACAGCACAAACATCTTTTATCAGTTGTGAGATAGTAACAAAGGCACATTTAGAGGTCATTAGGGCAAAACAAATAATCATTTGTTTAAAAAACTTTGAAGTGATATTAAAACAATATTTATTAAATATCTAGCAGAATGTCTGACTTTTTTAACCATCTTTCAGTCTTAACTTTTCTACTGATTTTATTTTTTAAGTAAAGATTGATTACCATAGTGTTCCAGAAAATCTACTTGATGTTATTGGTTTTGTACTAAGCTGCAGTTGATTTCAAGAAGAAACAGTAGCAACATCAAATGAATAAGGTTACAGATGTCTTTTTTAGCCAGTTGATACAACATGATAAGCCAAAATATGAGCTGCATGCTGTGCATTGCTTGCATTGCATCCCATGTCTCGTTCTGCAAGTAGTCTTGGGTAACAAAACCACATACTGCTTTCTTCTCAAAAGAGCTGTCTACAATTTGTTAGCTTTGCCTACTCATGTGAAAAGCAAGTAGTGCAATCAGAGCATTGTGCACCAACTTGTAGCATGTTCACAAAGCTTTATATCAGTTTAGTCAGTCATAAACAGGCTAAGATATATGCACTGCACTTTGTATAGGGAAAGCTGTATAAGGTAAAAGTTGTTTTGAATAAGCTTGACTATTGAAAGTTAATAATTGCTAGCAATGAAAGTTGAAATCAAACATTTTAACTCATAAGGGCCACAAGTAATGACAATAAAATCATAAGAGTTAATTTCATAATCCTATTTTAGTAAAGTAGGACCATGAAACCCTGCTCGCAACCCATCATCACCATCATCATCATCTAAATTTATATGTCACCCAAATCCCAGCAACTCTGGAAGCAGAGGTTTAAAAATATTTGCTTCTGCTAATATTGCTCATGGCTTATGGCTCAATGCAATGAAAACTCTATGTGTCTAACGTACTGTACATATTATAACCTATTCTATTATAGGGTTCCCAACTTTTATGGTCAGTGGACATATTTTGACAACATAGTTCTGGGCATGATAGCTTCTTTGCATGAGGGGCTTGTCCATTCACAGAATGACATGGTCAAATACAAACAAGGGGACATTAAACTGAAAAGGCACCTAGGTAAAGGGTTGCAGGCACAATAACAGAACAGTAGATCTAGTTGGTTCCAAAAGGTAAACATACTTGGATGTATCCTTTATTACAGTGTTATTTAGATATTAACAGCAGAGGTGTGAGCAAATAGTTTTAGGTAGAGTGATAATGAAAAAGATACCAATTGCATTGTAGCCAAAGACAAGCTAACTCTGAAACAAACTTCTTTGCATATTTGTTCAAAGTAAGTACTAAATAGATCTGTGATTTCATTATTTAAGGTGAATATTACCCTAGGAATTAGGTTGTGGTTTTTTTTATTACAAGCGTTATGCCCTAAACATTGGCAAAAGCAGTAATATACTGGGAATTTTTTTAAAATGGAAAATATATTATATGCAGTTACAAAGCTTTAAAGGTTTGTTAGTCATTCATAAGTTTTAGGTAAAAATTTGCTATCTGTTTTTGATTGATACTGCAAGATCCAGAAAGGTGCTGAATTTTGCTGAAGCACACATATTCTTTTGAGATTTCTTCCAGCGTTCTCTTGCTTTGTTACTACTTTCAAACATGTATTCAATCATTTACTGTTTAGAGATTGTTCATTATTATTTTTCCAGAGAGCAATATGTGTGTGTTGTTTTGACACAATAGATTTTTTTTAGGTTTCCAGGCTGTATTAAGATCTTAATTTCTTTTGCTGCCATTTACAGATAGTATTTATGGATGGTACTATAATTGGTGAAATACTTCATATACTTTTATGATGATCTGTGGATTTTGCCAATTGTTTTATCAGGAGAAGGGAAGCAAACTGCCTCTCCTTGGAGTTTTTGCTCATCTGCCAGTTACATATTTATGCTATTTGAAGAGAATATGTTTTGTCATTGAGGGTTTTGCATTCGGTTATGCTGCAATGCATATTTGATGCAGTTCAGTTTTCCTGGTTAAAAGTTGTATGACATAATGTTTAGGCATATTGGTATGAATTTTTCATGGAAGTATCTTTGATACTAGAGGTAAGTAATTTGTTTTCCTTGTAAAGGTTAACAGTTGCAGTTGTCTGTTTCTGGAAAATTACTTAGGGTATTTTTGAAAATATCTTTGTTACTCTTGTTTGTATACAATCAATACAACAGTTCCATCAAATTTTTATAGCCTTCCTGAAAGTTCATAAAGGGAGGTGGTATTTTTGCAAATGAAAATTCTAATGGATGCACCATTGATTTAAGTGCACCATCCCATTGCTTAGGAACATATCAAAGTAGATTTTTTTCCCATAGCTGCTAGAGTGGCAGTAAGAATAAAATACAATTTAATTGGTTCTAGAATGAAATTGGAATTTTGGAGAGCACTTTAATGCTGGAATAGGCCAAGCCACACTTCTAATTCTAGGAAAAAAAATGTTCTGACTGGAAATTTTTTTCTTCAGGGTCTTTCTGGCTGATCGAAACAGGAGAGCAATTTTAAATTTTTGAAGGAAGAATCAATTCCAGCATAGACCCAGAGGCCAGTGCCACAAAGAAGTGCTCTGAATGGTGAGAGCAGCATAGCTGCCTATTGCCTCTAAAACAGAGGTAGTTGTTCAGTTTTTCCAAGTTCTCCAGGAATTTAAATGGGAGCAAACTTCCTTCAATAAACCTGCCACTTTGCTTCAGGGTTTTTTTTTTTAATTTTTTCTTTTTTTATTTATTTGTGATGAGTTATATCTGGTCTCTGTCTTCCACATGAGTGTTGTTCTGTGCTACACAGAATGAGTAGAGTCTGTTGTGAGTGTGATGTCTTGATTATTGTAACTATGATATTATAGGTGGCATAATATACTAATAATAAACATTGCTCTAAGATAGTATGGTAGTCATATTAGTCATAGCTGCAATGTGCATACTGTTGTATATCTGAAATGCAAACTTATTAACTGGAAACTTTGTATGCAAATTTTGTAGTTTTTTTCCTTTCCAAAATTGCAAACCTGTATTTTTATTAAAAAGATGTGTTCCTTCTGCTTATAGGGCCGTTCTTAGCTTTTAATTTTTCTCTGTTCCCCAAAGATTTCTTTTCATGATAAATTAGATTCCCCCAATT